CGCACACACACACGCGCACACACACACGCGCACACACACACGCGCACACACACACCTCTCAGGGATTACCAGCGCTGTGTGTGGAGAGGTCGTGAAATACTCTGCAGTGCTGACATTTGTATAGAAATGTTGAGTGCGAAGCGCATGCGAGTAGTGTTTGCATGCATGCTCTGCTGTGTGTTGTGGTGAACATCTTGGCTACAAAGAGCTGGTGTGTGAAAGTACTTCCTGTGAGTGTTGTTGTGGTTATGATCAGAGGAAGTTTTTAGTAGGACGAAGCGAGTGTTTATCTCTCCGTCTCCTACCAGTTGTTGCGGGCGATGTCGTAGATCCAGAAGGAGTTGCGCACATTTTCCTCGCGTTTGTCCTTGTCTTTACTGAGGCCGGACAGGACATGGATCTCGTTGAGTTCAGGGTCGATGGTGGCTCTCTGGGTGAAGCCCGTCATCGGCACTGCATACACAAGCGGAGCAAACAGACGGTCAAAGACAAACACATTTACCTGCAGGTCTGATTTAGCTAAATCAGGTCAGGGTTTCATGCTGATAATAGCAAAACTTCTGTCTCCACAAAATGAAAGAAAGCGGCAGCGTTAGGGGCTATCAAAGAAAACTACTCGATAACATAGCAACGAGCACCATGGCAACAAGGACTGACACAGAAAGAAACAATGAACAGCATGCAAATGCAGCTCGGTGTGATCAGACATCCCAGCACACACGGTTGATCTTCTACGATTACAGCGGGCTAAAGGATCGAGCCAGGTTAAAACAGCACGGGGGCGGGGTCTCTGCAGATCAATGATTAGAGCGAAGCACAGGAGGAACTGTGCACGGTTATGATATCAAATCCTAACGAGGAGCTCGAGTCTGCCTGCAGGCCTGAAGCACACATCGTTTACATCTTCATACTGCGCCATTTCATAAAATCAGGAATTCAATTAAAACCACAAATGCGGAGTTCTGGGTCAGCTATAACAAAAGGTTCACACGTTATGACGCTGGCAGGTCAATCTAATGTCCAGTAGAAACAGTAGCCACAGCTCAGCTCACAGCAGCAACATGGAATCGTGACTCCACTGTCAGCACGGCTGCTTTTCCCTCCCTGAATCGTCCACACGATGGGCAGAGCATGAAACAAGCTGCTGACAGCTCAGCACTCAGCTGACTCAGGATGAGATGCTGTGGTGATGCGCCGATTTCATTTCTGGAAAATTACCATTTAAATGTGTGAAATTCAACTGATCGACTCAACCAATGTGTGTTTAATGAATTATTAATGATATTTCCGACAGAGCAACAGACTGTAAAGCTTTGTGAGGGGAGCCAGTGCTGGGTCAATGAGTAGTAATAATATAAGTTATTTATACCTTTGTTCCTTAAATTTTTAAACACATATCTGTACTTTGTACTCCTTAAACAGGCTCGTACACTTTGGCTTTTGACTGGACTTCTTTCAGGTCACTGGGCCTTATGAAAGGCAGGTGTGTTCAGGTACGAATCAGCAGCGGATGTCACACAAACACAGATGAAGAGTCGCAGTCAGGGGTCGGACGGTTTGGAGTTTTGGCACAACACTGGAATAAGTGCAGAAGTGCAGATGTGCATATGTTGCGACTGCAGTTCAGCATCTAGTTGGCGATACCGAAGAGGAGCGTGCATGAAGGGAGTGACGTTTTCTGTTTGTCAGGTCATCGTAAATGCAACGTTTTTATCAGCTCAACAAACATCAGCAAACACACAAACCAACACGACCTGCCTGCACCGCCCTCAAAAAACCCCAACCAAACAAACAAAAAACCTCCAACAACTTCAAGAACCGAATGTGTTAGCTTCACCCTGCAAACTACATCTGTTATAGTCGACAGTTACCAGTCAGCACAACAGGACAAGCTGGCGTTTCAGTGCTGAGCTCACATCAACATGAGACGTGTTTGGCTTCATAATCAAATCCTTTCGGTTCTTTCCTGCTCACATTTTTCTTTCCTGTGCATCATCAAATCATACAGATTTGATGCTAGCTCCAGCAGGGTAAGACAGAGGTAAGTGGTGGGTAGACAAGGTCTATTTATACTGGCTTTGAGGTGAAGCTGAGACTGTAGCAGACATTTTAGTCGATCTGGCAGGAAGTGTCTGAAGAGTGGAGGAGCTCCTTAACCAGACAATCGTCATCTCTGTTCTGATAGCTCACAGAATCTATTAGCCTCGATCATTTTATCATATTGTTAATGTAGCTGAGTCAAACAGAGCCCAGAAGACTACGAGGCAGCTACCACAAACATGCAAATGAATATCTACCACGAGAGGAGTGCTCTCAAACAAAGCTGTAGGTTTTTAGTATGAATTTATCAATACGTTTCAGAACTGAAGCTAGCGAGCTAGTTTAATAAAAGGGTGATATTTGTTTCCAGGGATGTGTTCAGTAGCATCGTTTTCAGGGTCGGGACAAACCCTTAATATACGCTTAAAGTAGAGCACTGCCCTGAATACAGGATCTGTGATTCCTCTAAAAGAAAACGGCGAATGTTCCTTTTCCAACGGTTCCTCGGCTCAACTTGGTTTTCAGGGTTTCTCAGTAAGTGATAATACCTGGTACCAGCTACGCTGTTCAAGTGAACCGAGTCGAGCTGACACTCGGTGACTGATGAGGGACACCACTAAAATCTAAATCACCACTTTTGAAACCCGGCAGTGTAAAAAACTGATGAGGTCTGAAAATACGCTACGATGATTACAGGCCACCTGTATTTGTTGTTACTGATAGCTTAATCTGTGTCGTCTCTCCCTGTGTGCAGCTCTATAAACCAGCGGACCTCATCATCCAATGTGAGCTGTTCTTACCCATCCCAGAGTCTTTCTTGGTGCCATCAGATATGATTTCTACGTGATCTCCATCCACATCGTAACTGAAGAAATCATTGAGGTACGTCTTTGACCTCTGACCACCAAACACGTAGAGGCAGCGGTTCCTCTGGCGAAGAAACAGAAATAATGGCCAACATTAAAGTCAGTCGCTGACGGGATTGTAATAGATATAGAAATAGATCCAATGACGCACTCACAGTGTGGAAGAGCATGCAGTGCCCGATACGGGACTGAACATCCTCTGGGCCAGCGTTGCACGAGTCCTCCCGCAGGAGGCTCCACGTCCCCAGTTGGCAGTGGTAGGCGTACAGGCCGCTGAACTGCGGCTCCGACGTCCGGCTGTCATCCACGCTTCCATTACACGTCAGGATCCGACCCCCAAACGTGTAGATCATGTGCTTCTCAGAGTCCATGCACATCTGCAGGAAGAGCAGTTTGTCACTGTTAATAAAAATGCATCTCTGAGCTGAAACTAATTTACTTTGATTTAAATGCTTCAGATTAAATCAAAGCTTCCTTCATTACATTTTCTCCATTTGTTTTTTTGAGTTGAAGCTTTTTAACTGCCTTGTGTTTTCTTGGACACGACTCCGCTTTAAAATCATTCTGCCTAACAAATGTCCAAAGTGGGGATGTGTGCGACTACACGACTACTCGATTGCTCGTTGCTGTTCTTACGAGTCGTTTAACTAACTGCTGAAATTTTAATTTGATGCCCAATGCTGGTCAATTATTGTCCTAAATGTTATGCAGACATCTGCCACCAGATGGCGCATCGTTGTTTAAAAAAACGAATCCGTTAATAGGCTGATATTTTTGTTAACACCATCAGAATGAGATGGGCTCTCTATTAGTGCTACTCCTCCACATCAGGAGGAGACAGCTAAGGCTGTCAACTCCTGGGTAAGGTGTTCAGGCCCAGCACGTCCTACTGGGAGGAGACGCTGGAGAGATTACACCTATCGACTGGCCTAGGCGATGTTTCCCTGGAGGAGGAGGGCCCAGAGGGAAGTCTGGGCTTCCTGCTGAACCCAAGATCCAACTTCAAAATAAGTGGGAGCAAATGGATGGATTCAGATCTATATTTGGTATATTTTAATAATAAGTTAAGCTCTTCTGTAGTAACACACGTTCATATCATATTTTAGTAGAACATGTGATGTTGATAATGCAGGATTAGAGGTGCTGCGCAGTGAAGCAGCAAGAATGTGGAAAATGGTTTAAAATGCTCTTGGTTTGCAAGTTTAACTTAATGCCTGAACGTTTCTTGGTCGCCAGCAACAGCCCTGGTCCAAAGTGACAAACATCTGCCTTAGTTTCACCCCAACCCTAAGGTGACATCTTAGAGCTGCTTTTGGATGATGGTAAAAATAGTTAAGCTGCAGCATCTAAACGCTGCCTCTCAAAGAGTGAGGAGAGCACAGCACAGACAAGTCTCCACTGTTGCTGTGAGGTCACGTGTGCGTCACAGCTTTGTCGATCAAACAAACATGAACGCCAGCAGCAGCTACAGAGTATGACCACAAAGAGCTGCTCGTGTTTTTCAGCTTGTGCTTAGCCAGGTCTGAAGTTGACTTCTGCTGGAGCTAAAAGTGGCAGCAAGACTAAGCCCTTTCAAACCAACGCAGCAGTGAAATGAAACCAATGTATATTTAACATTAGCTGTGCCACTTTCCTTTATCTGACATACACAAGGAAACTACACAAGGTGCACCTACCCTTTCCCCCTGTGGTCTTTATTTATGTGCAGGTTTGATGAAAACATTTTTGAATCCTTTTGTCTCGTACGCAAGGAAACGATGCACCGAATACAAGAGTTGTATTTAGTTATACGTCACGGGGTGAACACCTAGTGCAAACATACTTTTACTCCACGTACATGAAGGTTGGAAATGTTTTAAAATGTGTGAACAAAAATTAAAGACATTTAGAGCTAAAACTAAAGATTTGCAATTACTAATCAGGCTTCTCCTTGAGCTGTTAAACTTAAGCCAGGTTCAGACTACACACAGCCCCTCCATCACACCTCCTGTTGGTTCAGGAGTGGAGGCCCCTGTTGTGTCCGACAGTGTTCGGACACAATGGACAAACACGAGGAAGATGCAGTGAGTACTCTGACGGGGGTGAGTGGAGCTGAGTGTCAGGTCTGATGTGTGACAGAAGGTTAGCAGCAAGAGTCAAAGGGAAGGTGCCCAAGACGATGGTGAGACCTGTTATGATGTTTGCTTTGGAGACGGAGGCACTAACAAAAAGCAGCTGGAGGTGACACAGTTGAAGATTTTTGTTTTTGGAAGTGACAGGAAGGAACAGGACTGATAATGATTAACTCAGAGGGACAGGTCAGGTCGAGTTATCGGCAGACAGAGGAGGAGGAGGACGGCTTAAAGGTTTACGACATCTACAGAGGAAGAACGGTGAATGGACGGGACAGGGATGTTGAATATGGAGGGAAAGTGGAGTGTAAGAGATCGTTTTGCCTTTGCAGCTACCTGGTGGTCAAACACCAACTTTGGCCCTCCGTCGGCCGACGTATCCTCGCTTAGTAGCGTCCAGGTGTTGGCGTCTATGTCATAGCGGTAAAAATCGCTCTTCAGCGACTTGCTGTTCCTGACACTGGAGTCCAGGTAGCGGCCCAGCGTGTAGATCTGTCGCCGCTGTGAGTCGATGCACATCTTGTGGCATGAGCGAGCACTCGGACCACTCTGTTACACAGGAGACATGCTTACACGTGTGTCTAACATGCACAGACAGTGATTTTTCTTTTCTAGTCAAAAACAATCAGAAGACACTGGTGAGTGTTTGATCACCTCTTTCTCTGTGTCTCTGGAGATGCAGGCCCACTGGTTCTCCTGCACACTGTAGGCCCAGAAGTCTGCCAAATCCTGCGTCCCATCCCAGCCTCCAAACAGGTACACCGTCTCTGTGGGTTAGAAATGACCAGCACTGAGCCTTTTGTAACCATGCTCCTGCAAACAAGGTTGCCGTTTTTCCCTTAACCTCCTAAGACCCGAACTCTTTCAGCATTTTGAATGTGTCTTTGCTATTTGGGCTGATTGGGACCTAAAGAATGTAAAAACAAAGCATCCATCCATCCATTCGCTTCCGCTTATCCTGTTCAGGGGGGCGCTGGAGCCTATCCCAGCTATCATAGGGCGAGAGGCAGGGTACACCCTGGACAGGTCGCCAGTCTGTCGCAGGGCCAACACACAGGGACAGACAACCATTCGCACTCACATTCACACCTAGTGGCAATTTGGATTATCCAATTAACCTATCCCCACAAGCTGCATGTCTTTGGACGGTGGGAGGAAGCCGGAGTACCCGGAGAGAACCCACGCAAACACGGGGAGAACATGCAAACTCCACACAGAAAGACCTGATGGTGGAATTGAACTCAGGACCTTCTTGCTGTGCGGCAACAGTGCTAACCACCGTGCCACCGTGCTGCCGTAAAAAAAACAAAAAAAACAAAGCATCACCAGATTTTTACCTAATTTTTGTTTCTGAGAAAAATGAGATCCACATATGAGGACATTTGTTTCAAATTTTGATAGAACAGTGGCAGCATGATGTCCTCGTAAGTGGATGTCAGGCCCTTGTAGAGAGAAATTAAGTATTTTGGTCTAGACGTCCCAAAATGTGACGTCCACATATGTGGATGGTCCTAGGAGGTTAAATAAGCATCTGTTTTCTTATTGTACATGAAATCAGAAAAGATATGTTGCAGTTCACAGCACCCACCATCACAAGTCTCTGTTCAGAACTACGTTTTATCAATAACACATGGTGGTGGGGGTTCAAACGGTGGTCTACTCTGCACAGCGGACTCTTCGGTCAGACGGGGTCAGCATGCAAACATGCAAAATTGAGATGATTTATGCTTTCGCTTACAGGGTAAAGCTAAAGCTACATTTTCCATGATTTGACAAGCAAGCCGAGAGATGGCGCGTTGCAATGTAGCATGGCTCTTTAAAGCGCTCTCTCTGTTGTGAAACTTTGTTTGGGTCAAATTCAGGCCAGTGTAGCTCAGGCAGATGGGAGATGTAGGAAGCTGCGAGAATGAGTTGTAAAGACACAAAGTATTATGAGTCACTGGAAACGACCAACAATCGGTTGATTTGTGTAAAGGATTAGCAGGAATTTGGGATTTAAAGTGCTTTCAGATCACATTCCCCCTTTGAAGTGACACACTGTGTGGAGGTAAATACGACGCTCGTGAAGCAACAGCTTTGTTAAAAAGCCCGTTTTGTGCCAGAAGGGCGATTAAGCAAAAACATAACAAAGGTGACGGGAGAGAAAAGGAATATATGAGCTGGGTGTTTATAAAACACTGGTTTCACCATGAGATCATGATGTGTTTGCTTCATATAAAGTGGAAATCCCCTATTCAAGTTCTTTTTAAGCATATCAGCATCTGTGGCAGTATATGATGTATATGACCGAGTGTACATAAGCCTGGAAACGGCTGCAAATGAGCACTTGGAATGAGGCAAATATATGTAATTATATCCAATAATTAATAATTCTGCCATAAAGCAACATTTGAAAGTCCATAACAAAAATGTTATTTTGTATCATCATCTAGAGGCCGAGCTAAAACTACAGAGCAAATCAACATTTCTGCAAAAACAGCCTCCGTGCCTTCCTGTCAGTCCATCTTTTTGCTGACTGCAGGTCTTGTCAGATGAAGGCAGCTAGCATGACATGAGTATGATTGGTTTAGTTTGGTTGGCACCATGTTTGCAATGCAAACTTTGACCAGCTGGCGTGGGAGCTGAGAGCTGCTGACATCCTCAGCTCAACATAAGACAAACTGGTTTCCGCTGACATGTTTCAGGTGTTAGTTTGTATTTTGTTAATCACATTACTAACTAGGGCTGCTCGATGTAACGATATATATCGGATGACGATATAAAAACATCTATCGTTTCATTTTACGCTATCGTTTGTTTCATGGTGTCGCAAAATAAACTGTTTACAGCAATATTTGTTCATGTTCTGATGTCACTGTAGTGGTTATATTCATTTCTTAAAGTTCTCTCTTTCTCTTATATTTAATATAACCACACTACGGACGGACAAGCGCCTGTTTTTATGTGTTGTCGTTAGCAACAACGACGTTAAAACCATCGCGTGTCCGCTTGTTTATGTTCCACATAAACCTTTCACAATAAAGCTCAAGATCCTGTTGAGACTTTTCAAAATAAACTGAATCACGTGAAAGAGCAGATTATTTACGGATGAGAAGCAAAAAAGAGCCGCCAGGTGCTAAAAAATAAACCTTAGACTCAAACGTTAGAACAGGCTTTTCCCCGCAGCACGCCGTGTGATAAATACTCACAAAGAAAACGGCGCCGTTACAACTTATGTCTAAAAATGTGTCGTTTCATGCATCGGTTAAAACACTCGACTCAGCTACACGACGTCCAGCTGGAAACACTTCATCAAGAGTTTACAGAAAATGTTACGTTGTTGTGATTTATATCGTTATCGGACGACAGATGTTTTATATCGGGAGATGAGATTTTGGTCATATCGCACAGCCCTACTATTAACTGCAGCTTTCCACGTGTCACGCTATAATAACTCCCACCATGTGGCAACTGTCTGAAAGGACTCGAGGTTCATGTGATAGAAATATAATTTTATATGGTATAAGTTTATTGTTAAATTACTGAGTAAAATATATTCATCAACTTTGTTAAATCTACTGCATTCTTTGTATTTTGCCTCCAAGCAGCCAGACTGTCATTTTTTAAACTGTTGTCTTGTGCAAGCTTTCTAAAAGGTCTTCCAGAGTTTTTCTTTGGGTTTGTATTGTTTCATGTAAATTGTTGTAATGACAACAAAATGTCCAAACCAACAGGCTTTACTGAAACACAATCAGTGCAGCCTCCCACACAACCACAACAAATGCTGCACATCATCCAGAAACCTCAGGAAAACCCTGGATAACCAAGTGTTCTGTCCCTTTGTGCCTCTCATGCCGTAAACATTTACCAGATAAGCTGTGTGTTCAAATAGAGAGCGGTTTATCATAACCAGAACGTACAGTACAAATCCCAACAGCCAGTAAAGGGACTCAGATAGGGGGCTGTGACGCCATAGCTTAACTGGTCCTTCCTTGCGTTTAAATAAATAAAACAAACTGACAAGAAATTCTAAATAAAATAAAATAACACTAATTACGAGAATGTAAACGATATCAGGCACCGGACAGAGAAATCACTGGGATGTCCTGCACCACGACTCCTATGGTGGGACACAGAGGTCAGTGTGTGCTGCCTTCTCCCAGCTCATACACGAGCTGCAGACACTGCATCACTCAGTCTCACATACACACACTAACAATGCAGGCTTTTGTTTTTCCTGGCAGCCAGCAGGGAAGTACACTGCCAACAATGTTGTCAGATCCAAGGGTTAAAATAAATTAATTCATTAAAAAGCAGCGGTGCGTCTGTCGAAACAAAAGCCGAGATTAATGTGTTTTCACAAATAGAACGGTTTGGTTGGAAGGAGAACGTTCGAGGTGGGGGAACTGTGGAGGGTTCATTTGATTAAACGGCAGCAGAGCTCAGTGTGCATAGGAGGACGTGAGTCATAGCCAAGTCATAACAGTGCGCTGTGTGAGTCTCACCAGTTTGGACGTCAATGACCATTTGATGTCCTCCCCTCATCCCCGGCCTGTTGTCGTCACCGTCACCTGCAAAGAGAAAAGAGGATGGAAAAGACAAAGATGGAGTGTGAGCGTGGGGGGGACAGACGACGAAGCAGAGAGGTGGATCAGGCAAAATGGGGTGGAGCGAAGGGATGGGCGGGGCAGCAAACAGACAAGAAAGACAGCGCTGCTTTAGACAGGTGGCAAAGTTGTCAGCATGTATTGAAATGTGTGATAAGCGGGAACATTTCCCACTGGAAAGATGGGCTCACTGTTCATGTCGTCGCGGTTGATTTCTTGGGCGCTTGTACCTTTGTTGCATTTGGGGATGATCTGACTCCACCTGGGCTTGTACTCCTGCTGGCTGATGTACTGGTTAAACAAGCCATCTAGCAAGAGGACACATGAATCAAATATGAGAAAGAAAACAAGCGTAATCCCATGAGCATTTCTCTCAGTCAGAACAAACACTATGGCTGCATACCTCTCACAGCTTTGTCTATCAGCTCCTCACAGGCATCAAAGTCTCCTTGCAGCACCAGTCGGTCGTGCAGGTGGGTTAGCATGGGGTGCTCCAGAGCTATTCGAGTCTTCTTCTGCAGCGACTCGAAGGCCTCTGTGTAGTTATGCTGTCGGAAGTGCTTCAGGCAAAGGCGGATGGCTTCCTGTTCTCGGTACTATAAGGACATGATGGAGAGCAAACTGATGAGTTCAAATCACTGCACGAATGCTTGGACCACACCCGACTCAGCATCAGGTCTATCAAACACGTGTGAAACCAAATGACACTGAAGGTTGAGTATTACGCCTCAAAGCTTTTTTAAAAAACAAACACAACGCAGCGCATGATGCCACCAGTCTAGTATTTTACATCATACTGCCTTCACACGTATATGAACTCAAGCGACGTTCGATTCTTAATCCATACGGTGGTTATGAGCATCGTGTTCCAGAAGAGCATTCGTGAAGTCAGACACAGTGATGCTGGACGAGGCCTGGCTCCCAGTCTCCACTCCAATTCATCCTAAGGGTGCTTTTTTGGGGTCGAGGTCAGGATCTGTGTAGGCCAGTCAGGTTCTTCCACACCAAACTCCCTTATCCATGTTCCAACAGGACGGCAACATCCCCAACTGTTCCCACAAAGTTGAGAGCATGAAATTGTCAAGAGTGTCTTGATTTGCTGAAGCATTAAGAGTTCCTTTCACTAACGGGCTGAGCCAACAGTCCCACCCCACAGTCCCCCTCCACCAAGCTTCACACTTGGCAAAACGCAGTCAGACAAGTAGCATTCTCCTGGCAACCACCAACCCAGACTCATCCATCAGATTGTCAGATGGAGAAACCTGAATCATCACTCCAGAGAACACGTGTCCGCTGCTCTATAGCGTCTAGGGGTGGGTGCTTTGCACCACCGCACTGGATGCTTTACAGTTGGAGGACTAGATGCAGCCGCTCAGCCATGCAAACACCCGACAGGTGTAGCCTGCCAAAACCTGCAGGATACTGTTGTTCAGAGCAGCGGCTACTGTCGTCCTGTGCACGACTGGTTCATATAGTTAGTTAGATGTTTCTGCCATTGTTAAGGGACCGGTGTATCTGTGCATTGGTCCTACACAAAGCGTGTGCACTGAACCATGTTGTGGCCGTGTACTGTCACAAGGAGGCAGCATCAAAAATATATGGAACATCGAGTCTCTGGGAAATTCTTTTTGTGTGTGAAGTCGTTGGTCCTTCAGCCGACTCTGAACAAGACAGAACATCTAAGTTACAGCTTCTTTTAGTGACATGAAACTGAACAAGATATACATGCACACATATATACACACACGTGTGTGTGTGCGTGCGAGAGAGAGAACAAACTGTCTGAAATGTGTTAACAGAGACATTTTGGGGATTTTGACTCAGTCCGTGCTCCAGATGGGTTAATTATTAATCGTGTTAGTCGTGATGACGGCACATTAACACTGACAGCATTAAAAAATATATAAAGTCGCCAATTTTGGATGAAAGGGGTAAACCTAAGGATGTACTCAAAGCGGTGTGCTGCTTGTGCAGATGTAAAGTGCGAGCAAAGTACTCAAACACGACTAACTTGCATGAGCATGTACACGTCCACCATCCGGCGGAGTATGCTACGCTATCACCAGCGTCTGCAGCTCCATCAAGCATTTGGGCGCACTCTGAGATGTTTAAATAAACAGCTGTATATCGGCTATAATTTGTAAACTAAAGTAAACTGGAAACAGCTGAACTAGTGAAGCAGCAACAAACCACATGCACAGATATGTTGATGGTTACGGGTCAGGGAAGGAATGGCTTGTGTTAGCACTGTTAATGTTAGTCACTAATCCAAAAGCACCACACATTTCAGCAGTTTGTTAGTTCTTTGTTTGCAGGAACCTCCCTGATCAGAACACGGCTGCTGCTGGTTAACTCGAACAGTAGCAGGTACAGTTTTTTTATATTCTTCATGTTGTAGTAAAATATACAAGAAACGAGGTGGTCGTGAGAAGCACGGTTATAATGTCCCGGCTCCATCATATGCAAGTTAATGATTAAGCTAGCAACACATGTACAGCAGAGACCACACGATACCACTTTACAGCAACATTAACTCATGTGAGCAGGTAGGCGGACGATGAGAATTGTCAGCAGTCTGGAGATATTTTAAGACAACAAAAGTAAAGGAGCCTGCCAGCTCGGCTCTGCTACATCGTCAGAGGAGGAGGACTGAGAAAAAGTTCATTTGTCTCATGTAAAATATCTAAAGTCCTAACCAAACGCAAACTGCAATGAGTCTGCTAATGTGTGTGGAAGCAAATGGCGACAACCGACACTGGAGACATCACGGGAAATGTCCAGAGACAGACAACCAGCGGGAGAAACCAAAAGAAACTGCAGCTCTTTGCCTCTACAGGATTAGAGCATAAATTTAAGCCTAAACTCGAATCAGCAGATAAAAGCAGGTTTTTCTTTGTTTACATTTGAAAGGCATGGCCTAAAATCCACAGAGGCCAAACTATCTTTTGTAATTAAGTAATAAACTACAATATTCATAAATTACATGGAATCCAACACATGAATTTAAGACAGAAGTGAAACTATGTGAATGCAATTAAAGAAACTGTCCCAGAGACAAACTGAGTTTGTGGGTTTCCAAATGTAATCAGCACCTCTGACGTCCCAGAAGTTTTCATTCAAGCTGATATTACGCAGGAAGGCAAATCCACTCTTCCACCTCTGCCCCACCCCTCTAACATCCAGGCTGAGGCCTACCTTGCTATACCAGTTAAGGCAGGGCTGCACCACATCTGGGTCTTCAATTCCATGCAGCTCAATGTACCAGATGCTGAAGTTGAAACTCGGACCCCAAGACATCAGAGGCACTGAAGTTAAACAAGTGGTAAGAAGTGTTAACAGCAACAAACACATGACAACACAAAGCGTGCCAAACTGCTCTCACCTATTTTGACAAATCTGCAGGGGAACATCTGCTCGTCGATCTTGTGCTTTAAGGTGAACGTTTCCTTGTTGTAGTCATTCTTAAGGCCACTGGCAGATGGAGAAAGACAATCAACATGACACAGCTGTTTCACAAATCCTACTGGTGAGTTGAGATACCGACTGAATCCATTTGCTGGACAGCCCTCCACCTCTGGCAGCTGACTAGACTTCATGTGTGGCCTTGCAGCTGCAGTTCAGGCTGTTAACAAACATGCAGCCTGCTAATGCAGCTCTTCAGCTGGATGGACTCATTTGCCAGTTGCAGGTTCTCCAGAAACAATTTGCAACAATTGAAGTTGCACATTTACAACTACTTACAATCCTCTGTTCTTTGAATTTATTGAAGTTCAAATTCAACATAACACCTGAGGCAATTTATTACTTAAGACAATTAGAAAAAAAATCTGTTCAACCAGTGAATTTCTGTCAACTAGAAGTCGTCTCGACAGCCACAAATGAGAGCACTTCTGATGGCACTGTCATTCTCCTGGTATTGTGTCTACCAATAAAGACACTACAGGACCAGACAAACACAGAAACATGTCTCCCTGAAGCTACAGGGGCATCTCACCTGGACAAAAGCTCGGTCATGTTTTCTTCGCTCATCCCACCAAACACTTTGAACTTCTTCAAGTTGCACACATGAGTCTTCTCATATTTCCCAAAGGTGATGCTCTGAACAATTGCTGGCCTTTCCAATTTTAAGATTAAAAACTGTGGAAAGAGATCAAGACAGGTGAAACAGACTGAAAGCACAGAACAGAGTTATGACGTATTTAGTGCTTGTAGAGAGCTCCAGGAAATTTGCCTGAAATTATGCCTGCCCAGTCGCTGTGAAGGGATTCTCTCCTTATCTAAACGACTACAGAATCAGGTAAGTGGCAGCACAACACACTATGAACTGCATCCACATGTCACTGGCGCTCTAACAAGCCAAGACATCAAATGACAATCCACCCATGGCCACAGGCCACAGCACCGATTAAACAGGAAATGTGAAAGCATTTAAATCCACAGAGACCAACATGTTCACATCCGCTGTGAAAGCATCAATATCAATCTGAAATGAAGCATTAATGAATCACACAAACTCCCCACCTTTACAGTAAATAAAAAAGTAGCAATACTGAGTTGACTTTCCATTTTGTGTTTGTAATGAGACAACGTGTGATGAAACAATAGGCTCCTCCCATCACCCTCCCGTGACGACTCACATCCAAGGTTATAATTTACTCACCAGTAATTTGGCACACAGTTTTTTTAATTAGTCGATGGAGGTGGGGGTACGCTACTGATTTGAACGTCATGTTTTGGACAATGACACCAGTTTGAATTGAACCCTTTAAGACCTGCCATAGAACCAAGTCCACCAGAGCTTATAGTATATTTTTACATGCTGTGGGGCCATTTTTGGGAGCATTTCAAGTTGCAACCATTACAGCCCAAATTTTAATAATATGTCTGCATTAAGTGCATAGTAATTACATAAATTGCAAAAAACTAGAAAAACTTCTCCCTCAAAACTGTAAATACAAAAAAGTTAAAAGTTGCACAAACTAGTTTCCCACCACAGGAAATTTATTTTAAGTTTCTTCATAGTTTTATTTCTGAAATACACCAATTTTTATATACTGCAGGAAAAACGAAAATAAATATTATAATGCAAAAAAAGCAGCATATGCATCAAAATAAACTATTTCCAGCAGTGCAATTTGAGTCCTCAGCATCCCAGAAACGACACAGAAAGTCATAAAGTCAAACATAACTTTTAAAAACACCAGATAGGCTCATGAGGCCCTGATGGTAAAAAAATAACTAATTTAAAAAAAAAAAAAAAAAAAAAAAAAAAAAAAAAAAAAAACATACATTTCCACAAAATGACGTCACTTCCGGTTTCGGGCAGGTCATGGCGGACATGCGATAGTTTGCGCTGATGGACGTAGGAAGTGTTACAAACAGCTGATCGGATCGGCAAAACCTGTTTCTGGAATATTATGTTTTTGTTGCTGCAAGTGCTTTTTATGCAGTTTTTGCAAAGATATATGTGGAAGGAAACTGTGACCGAGGACAAGCTGATGGCATAAGATGTAAGTACAACTCCTCCGGTTTCATATGCAAAAAAAATCATTGCGCTAGCTTACGTGGTTGCAGTGCTACCGGGATTTAAAAATAGTTACGCAAAACGGAGCATGCCCACTCCGACCGGTTTTAAAGGGTTAAAAACGTATCCCAACGCTGAAGGTTTCCCTGTGGACGGTGAGCTACACGACCTGCTGCTGTCAGTGTGGATTCGTGTGAAAATGCTTCCACTCTGGGATTCGATCATATGGTTTTCAGAAGCAGCACAAATGAACAATGTTAGTGTTGTTTTCTTTATGAACAGATCCCATCGGCAAGGATGCAATCTCCCAGGGGGAGGACAGAATGCCCCCCAAGCCCCAAAACTGTTTAGTTTATGCTCCACGTCTTATAAAAAATGGAAAGAAATGTTCCGCATCATTTCTCATGGGGAACTGTTACTTTAAATTGACAAATCAATTGTTTAACCAGCAGTTTTCTACCATCCAAACACCGCCTACTCCTACTCTAAATTACAGGCAGATTCCTGCAGTTTTCCTTCATTTAAAGCATAAAGGACATACCTGAGCTGCAGAATTATTAGAATTTGTGAAGCCTGCGTAACACCCAGCTGCTGTACTAGAAACAGAGTATTTTGAGTCTGGGGTGCTCAGTCCTCCAAGTGAGTGGTTAACCATTGTTTTGCAATGTTTCACTTCCTCTTGTCAGTCAATGCAAACTTTCAGATTTAACCTCAAAGTCGTGCAACACTATCTATGACGGTGTTGTCAAAGGGAGTCAATGAGTTCAAGAGAGAGGAAGGCAAACTTTTTCTTTCAGAAGCGTGAACGTAAACAGTTGCTGTTGCTGCTCACTGCTAGGTGGAACCTCCTCATACAGCTGCAAGATAAAGTTAGTGAACTCTTTGGAATTGAAGCCTTAAAAACGAAGCCTCCTGCTGTTCGAGGACCCGTCACAAACCTGGATAAATGGGAAGGTTGTATTTGTTGTGAAATGGGGATCCGTGCACTGTGGTAACCCCCTGGGAAATAAGAGAGTAGCTAAGAGTAGCTTATCTACATCGTCTGTGTAGGCGCTCAGTCATCCAGGCCATAGTTAAAATTAGGGCTGTTCGATTTAAGGAACGACATATATCTAAAGACGATATGAAAACGTCTGTCGTTTCATATTAAGCTATCATTTGTTTTTTTTCATGGTTTTGATGGTCACCGTAGTGGCTACATTCATTCCTTAAAGTTCTCTAACCTTACTCCTAAACGAGGGGCTCCCTCTGTAACATATGGTTTGTTTATGTCTGACACGGACCAGAAAACTGTACAATTATGCAGGAAAACGAACCCCACCTCAGACTAGGGCTGTGCGATATGACCAAAATCTCATATCCCGATATATATATCGTTATATCGAACAGCCCTACCTCAGACTCAAACACGACAAACCTTTTCATACACCTACGCAAGAATCATGTGAGGGAGTTTACAGATGAGAAGCAACAAAGAGCCGTCAGGTGCTCAAAATAAACCTCAGACTCAAAGGTTAGAGCACGCTTTGTAGTAAATACAAAGAAAATGGCGGCCGTTACAGTCAAAACACTCGACGCCCAGCTGAAAACACTTTACACAAGTCGAGCTGCCTGAGATCCACAGAATTTACAGAAAATGTGAAATTTTGTGATACATATACCGTTGTCGGGGCGATAAATGTCTTCTATCGGGATATGAGATCTTGGTCATAGCGCACAGCCCTAGTTGAAACAGACCCAGACCATGATGCTTCACATGCGAAATTTAGATACTGGCATTCATTCTGCCCAAACATAGAATCGTTTTTGCCAAAAATGTCATATTTGTCTCATCTGGTATTAAAACATTACTATTTGGGTTTTCTTTTTTAGGTTTTTCTTATATCAATATAATTCCTATTCACTTTTTTATTATCATCTTATTTGTAATCGACAAAATAAACGTCCTTTTTGTTAACATTGTTACATTTGTTTGACCTAAAGTAAAAACTGATGACAGAGCTGCATCTCATCTCCTTACTATGAATTACAAACATTCACTTAATGTTTCTTATCTTTGTCCAACCCTTTGAATTATTATTTCAGTTAGTTTGTGTATAACTGACTTTTTTAAAATATCACATTTAGGCACATTCATACTTGCTGAGAAGCTTTTAATCCACTCACTACTCTTACATCAACTTGAGTAACTGAGGCCTGACTTAAAACCATGTTACATTCAGGCAGATCAAGGTCAGCCTTGAGATATTCCATGTACTGAGCACTCAAATATAAACAAGCCCAGCAAGACACTGTAAGCGAGGCCAACCCCCCCAAACAACTGAAAGCATAGATATGCTTTTCACATGACTTTACCATTCAGTTAGAAAACAACACTGTGTAAATAAACATTAATAGTTCTACTGAACAGCATTGGATTCATTTTTATTAAACTGTAAAACACAAACAGCATAAACTGTTGAGAATTCACACCTGCAAGAAAAATAAGTCTAACAGAGTGAATGTATAATGGAACTGTAAAGCGCTTTGGGTGCCTTGAAAAGCGCTATATAAATCCAATCCATCATCATCATCATCATTATTATTATTATTATTATTATTATTATTATTATTATTATTATTATAAGGAGGAAAAGCACCAGACATGATGAATGATGGTCTACCAGCAACAGCTGGAGCAAGGTCGAGCCAAAGAATGTAAGTGTTCAAGTGGAGTTACAGAAGTTGATGAAAACCCATCAAGTTAAATGCACAGGAAGAATTCCCACAAGTGTTACTTGTTTAAAACAAACAAACAAACTAACAAAAGGTGGGCACACAGGAAGAGAAGGCAAAGGTGAGGCAGCACCCACACCTTCCACTTTCTTTTTCAGGTAGATTTTCCCTTACAAACTTCCCAACACAGCTAAGCTTTGACTACATTACACTGTTATTAATGATCATTTTTGGAATGTTTCACTTACTTTTACTTGACACGTTCAAGTACCTGCCAAACCGTTAAAGAGGTACGGTGACCTGACATGTAGTTACTTTTTTGGTGAGAAGGTTACAGAAAATGGGAAAATGGAGTACTGGTTATTGTATCAGTAATAACACAGACGTGACGCAGAAGTGTGATTGACATGTTTTCAAATGCCCCATCTTAAAATGTCAAAATTTCCCAAAGAATTAAGAGCATTCCCAGTAAAGCAAAGGGTTTCTCAATCCCATTGGCCTCTCTGTGCAGACTGCACAGTTTCCTGTTTATGCACCTTCACAAGATGCACCCCTCTCTAAAATATTAATGTTAATTAATTAGCCAAGCCAATTACCCATGAACTGTGACCCTATGAAGCTACACAAATCACGACTTTCATGGACAACTGCTGTTCTAGGTCAACAAAATTAAAGCTCATCTTAACCAGAAATGAACCTACCTGTGGAGGATAGTTGCTCTCAGAAGACCACCTGGAGGACTGATCGTTAGGTTTATCCACCAAGATATTCCTAAACAAAATAAAGAGACAAGTATTTACCCACTGTGGAATACCATCCCACCAAGTGAGCAGAAAACGCGGAAAGACAGCAGTGCAAGGTTGGGCCGAATACAGGTCCTGTGTGTCCTGGAAGCTTATGACAGTAGATTTATCACATAACAAAACTACTTTCTTGTAGTCACGCTACATTCTGTTAGGAAGCTCATTTAGGTAACTGTTGTTGTTAGCCAACTAGCATTAAGTCAGCTACTGCTGAACTGTTTACTGAGTGCTGAACCAGCAACAGGCGAAAGCCGCGAAACTATGGTGACTTCGTTTATATTAGATTAAAACATGGGTGCTGGCGTGAGCGACAAGTAAGTTTTCCTTTCGTTGCAACAGTTTCAGGTAGCCTATAACCAAGCTCATTAGCATAGCTGCTAAAGCAAAGCTCTATGGTTAGATACCAACAGCTAGTTGCCTACTTCAGCTCTGGAGTCCAGTTAGCTAACGTGGACGTTCGTTTTTCACGTATTAAGATACCGAAGTGAACACTACGTAATCAAAGCGTAAAATATTATACAGCTGTGACAACGGAAGTAACAAAGAATAATCTGGGCGTGTTCCAATGCCAAGTTTTCGGGGTTGTCACTCTAGAATAATATAACTATAAGAGAAGAATACACCATTCAGTTGCTTTGTTTACGTTTTGAGATAACGCTCCAATTGATATCCTACACTGAAGTAGGAAACTGTCCCTTAGTTGCCCACACATTTCACAGAAATTACTGAGCGTCATTTCATCACACAGAAAGTACATCGTAAGCTATTGCTTGCAACAAACGTTTAGCGGAAAAACAACATTATCATTATCGGGCGGCTAAATATCCGAAACCAAACGCCCCACACGGTAGCTAGCGCTAGCTTGCTCGCAGACAAGCTAGGCCAGTCGCGCAGGGTGGAAGAAACACAAGTGCGCCGAGATGACAAAAGACCACCTTCCACCGCAAAACCTAATGCATACGCTGGGCCAGAGGATGGGAAAGATACTCACTCAGGTAAATATGTAGACGAGTAAGAGCTCCATTTAAAAACGCTGAAAGTGAGGACTCTGCTCTCGGGAGCGACAGCCATCTTGTTGCAGAAAATAACAGACAGCGAGAGGTTAGCAAGGAGCGAATATTGACAGCTCTTAAAGAGACAGCACACATATTTGTGTTGTTTACGAAGCCTCCTCGGTAGCATGAACACACTGCACGATACAGTTATCACGTCAGCTCTTCATATTCATCGTAACAAAACTCGTATTTTTTTAAATTATCATTTTTTGCAAATATCATTCCAGCTGAAACATGTTAATTTCAATCGATAAAACATAAAAAGCGAATGATAATAAAATAATAACAATACCTCCATCACATTAATGTGCTTTGAGGCCACAGGCCAAAATGATCTTCTACAGCCCCGTTCCTAAATATGTACATCAGCCCTAATTACTACACAGCTACACACACACAGCTACTGGAAGTCGAGTTACCCAAAACTCTTTAAACCTGATCCATAAGTAGGGGTTTCGAAATTAATGCATACATATAAATAGAATAAAGACTCCCACAGAAATAATCAGCCGATCATATAGTATCATACAGTTGACTGCAGTGTTTCCTTTTTGAGACAAAGACAGCAGTGTCCCTTTTCAAACAGCGTAGTGTTTTACTATATGTGAAGTCATTGTAGCTTAGAGTGGGTGAGTCATCTGGTGACTAATGCGCTTTATTCCGGTTAGACAAAGCTACTCAGCCTCCTAATTTGCAGCATACACTTTGAAAGAAGATGACTCGACATTTTTTCATCTTGACATTAAGCCAGTATGTAGTTGATTGTGCGTCTTGCTTTGAGCTAAACGCTATAAATTACCTCCACGAATTAACATATAACTGGTCACAGCTGCCATAACGTCAAACACTGGTTTTCTTGACTGGTTATGTTGGTCTGCTGCAACTGGACATTTTACTGTCAGTTGACTGAAGACACTCAAAAAGGTCACATGGCAGCCACGTTCTGTAACCGGATGCTTGTTTTTAACAGATATCTGTGCCGACCTGAGAGCAACACTTTGTAAAAATGTAGAAAATAGTCTCTGAGATCAAAGTGATACCATCATAATACTCGCTCTGTACCAACTAACACTCCAGATCTATGAATAGTTTGGGCTGGTTCGCTCTGCCCAAAGATTTTAAAGGCCAGACCCCGGAAAGCGCTGGTCACCTGATAAAGCTGTTTCCTCTTGCTTTAAGTATCCTGGAGCCTTCACGTCATCCAATGTTTGTCTCCATGCACCTTGGAAGTAGGTGAAGTTGTGCCAGAATAATTTGTTGCTATCGAAGATTTTTTTAAAGCAAAGTCTCAGGCCTGACAGTGACTGTCAGGGGATAACACGGTGCATGGGACTGTACATATGGAGTGCTTTTCTGCTCTCGCTGAACATCCAACAGCACTTTGCACTACGAGCCACATTCATCCATGGACACAGAAGCTTTTCTAACAGTTACACACATGCTGGAACACTCCACCGGGGATAATGTCAGCATCTTGCCAAGGGCACTTTCAAGACATGGGCTGGAGAATGTCGGGGATTGAACCAGTGACCTTCAAACCAGTTGCTGACCTGTTCCAGCTCCTGCCTATTTAGAAGGAAAGCTGTAGCATTCATATGGGCCTCATTCGGCACATGGTTTTGTAGCAAACAGTTGGTGCAGTGAGTGCTCTCGCCTCTGGCAGCCTAGCTAACCCTTTTGTGGATTAACCAACCCTGCATATATCAGTCAGCTGTATCCTCGTCCCCCTTTGTTCCCCATTCACTTCACACGTTGTTTTATTGTCCACATCAGTTTGAGTTGATATCCAGTTGTTGCAGCATGCACTTCCTATCATGCAATTCAAGTTATTTCAGTCTATTTTGTTCTTAAAAAGAAATCGAAGCTCATTTCCAGAGCGACAGTTAAATGGTGACTAAAACAATCAATACAAATTGTTGCGATGATGTTATTGTCTTGATACGGCTGTGTGACAGGCAGGATGCAAAACACTCAGAGGAATAAACTAAAAGAGGCTGCTTCATCGCAGTAGCATCATTTTACAAAACCAAAACTAGAAACTAATAACAAAGACAACGGGAAACCTGGAAACTACGGACAGCAATCTCAGGGAAGCATGGAAGGAGAAGCACACAGCGTGGAGCGAGGACGAAACACAGGGCTAAAATACACTGAGGGATAAGCAGGGAATGGGACACCGGAGCAGAGCACAGCTGGGAGGAATCACACATAAGACAAGGGAAAGCAAAACTAACACAGAGACGCAGACTTGATCTGAACAAAGGGAACACAGAGGGACACGACCGGGGAGCAAGATCAATATTAATAATGATAATAATGATGATGATGATGAAAATAAAAAAACAAAACACTGAGTCACTGACCCAGGACCGTAACAGTTATATGGTGTATTTGAAATCAAACGTTTTAAATAAGTTCATAAAAGTGAAAATTGGCAATGAAAAGCTTTGCTTCAACAGCTGATTTCATGTGGCAGCATCTTTCATGCTTCATCTTTTCTAGATTGGTTACTTAAAATAAACGAACCAACGATTGTGAGTTTCGGCCTGATAGTTTAAAGTTAGCAGTGTGCGCACGGCGATGGACGTCCTGCGAGACTCGCAGTGTGGCTTTGCTGCATAAAAGCATCCACGTTTTGCGGGCTGTGTCACTCGTTCAGACGAGCACAGAGGGGGAGCCGAGAGGTGTCTTTTGTTGCTGAGAGTTGTAATCCACTCTAATTCAAACCACAGGGGGTCTGTGAGCCTCAGAGACCCTCAGACTTCTGGTATTTTCACACGGTCCCGACTGCCACCAAGTCCCTCCATCACACATCACACATAGACTTCAAAGAGCCGTATGTACTGAGCCTAAGCTACTGTACTCGCTAACCTTGTGGCAGCTGTGATACACGATACCTTTATCAACCTGTGTTTATAATTTAGTCCAATATTCAACAACACCACGGAGCATCACATCTGATACGCGGATGAAGTTCTAGGCTCTCATTGTTGTCCTTAGTATTCACCCACCCACTGACAGCTATCCAGAGTCCAACATTACAGAGCGCAAAGACAACACGCGCACCAAAGCTGATCAGCGAACACGAGATAATAGAGCTAACAACAGTTTTTGTCTTGTTTCAGGCGTTTTCCTGAAGTCAGTGTAAGGCAGTGAGTACTACGTTATTGGTTTCTATAGCAATTTAATTAAATCAATCTCTGCAAAAACATGCTTTAAAGACATAAAGATGTACTAAATGAGAAACGGCAGCCCACGGCTACGCGACATGGCCCAGTCTGTCTTTGGAATATTTTTCTCAAATCTCAGCAAAAGTGTTCGTTTTTGATGACTCGTCCACGAGTGGACTCCATCCAGGCTTGATGATGGTGTGCAGAGTGATAACAGTGTGTCTTTTAAGCACACTTCCAGCTCTTGGCAAGCCCTTACTTCCACTTACTAGAAATGGAAAAGGACGCTCGTCAAGTTTCCTGTGCATGGATGTAAACTGGGAACTGAAGTGAGACGTGGTTTACCACTGTGGAATAACCATATAAAGTGATGGCCCATAATGTGTTACAGCCAACATTAAGCAGACAAAGAGAAACATTAGCACTGTCTCGAGGTTTGTTTCGCATTCAGTATTCATTATCCTGCGGTTCCTCGGCCTTTGCTTTCCAACAACTCTTCAGTGAAATATAGAAATCCTTAAGGAAGTGTTAATGCCTCGCTGCGTGAAACCGCCAGTGAGTCAATGTGTGTTTGTTGTACACAGGCTTTGTTAGAGTGTTCCCTGCTGCCTTGGCAAGAAGCAACAGAGACTGTATATAAAGGATGGCTGTGGCCACAGTGAAGTCATCCACCAGTTTATGGAACATTGGTTTAGAGCCTTTAGAGCTGGCGCTGACTAGCTACCCAGGTGGATGAGGTGCATCGCTTAATGTGAAACTGAAAGTTCATTTTGTTTTTAAATATAACTTTATTGAATAACTTCAGTTTTTTTAAGCTTTAATGTCGTTCCAACCGCTCTGGGCACGGCTGCTGTTCAGCTGTAATTAACAAGGAAGAAACGATTTTTTTTGTCTCTTGGTCCTCAGTGGTAGAGTGGGGTGATGGTCACCGGCAGTCTGATCTGTGGTAAAACTAAAAGTATTTTTCAGATCAGCTCTAAAGTCCACGACTTTTAAGTCTTCTGACTACCGTGCTGCTGGCCTCAGCTTCCAAAAACATCCTTGTTTGTATTCACAACATTAGCTTTTTCAGTCAGATGTGTTAATGAGGGATTTAAACCCCTGTATTCAGCCATGCTAACACATTCACAGAGGATATAAAAATAAACAAAATGCAAATGTAATGTAAAATAATCTAAATGTAAAGTCAGTGTAAATAGAGCAAGATTCACACAAAGTGTCCCTCTGTCTGTAATCTGCCTCTGATATGAGATCAGGTGTTTTCCCCTCAACGTTAGTCACCCTGTGATGATGTCATACAGGCCATGAGCTCATTGGTGGAAAAAAAAGCTAACAAAGAGCATCAGCCTGTTCATTAAGAATAACAAAGGTTACCTTCATCATCATTGTCACGTCTAATAAGGATGCTCTTTACTATCATGATAATCATTTTATTTATCATCATCATCTTTATTATAACCAGTGAGGATTATCTCCATCATCATCATCATTCTCACATTCATCACCACGACCATCATCGTTATCTTCACCAGCCAAATTTAGTTATCTTCATCGCTGCCATCAGGTTTTCTTTATCATCATCATCATCATCATCACAACTTTTACAGGCTCACTGTCATAATCATCATCATCATCATAACCACAAATGGTTGTCTGACTATAGCAGTTGTCATTGTCGTTACAATAAAACACCACGCTCTATTTTCATCTTCAGCAGCAGCATCAACTTATCTTCATCATCATTACTGTTACTAGAGATGACCGACATTACTACAATGACCATTAGAGCCAGCGGCAAAATCTTCCAGATAGAATACAGACAAACCCCCCAAACAAGTTATCAACCAGCCCGAGCGGGTCTGGTTCCTGCTGCCTTGCATCTTATTTCTTAATTCTCCTGG